GCTAAGAGGTGAGATTACCTTTAATCACCTGCAAACGCAGAGGCAATACTTTTCCAACCCACATAGTTTCCCCAAATAGTTGCTGATTTCTTCTCTTGCAATCTCTTGCGTAATGCCTTCGTTCTCCGCATATAAAGCATTCGCTTGTTCTCGGCCTAGCTTCCCTGGCCCCACTCGTATTCCCAGCCCTAGGGATTGAATGACATTCGACAGACTCCGAGTAGCCTCTTTCTGTCATCTGTCCATCGCGGGAACGAAAAGCACATTCTTGATTGTTTTCTTCACTCCATTCATCATGTTCTTCACATCTCCTTTCCCTTCTGCCATGATCTACTTCCCGTTCGCCAATCCAACCGGAGCTCTGTATGTTCTGTCTAGAGTCGCAAAAAACTTGGCATATATCATCCACATATGAGGAATCATCATCACCATAATTCACTGCTAACATTTGATGTTCATGTTTTTCGTTCCTCGCTCGTGTTTGCTGTTTACTCGTGCTGTAGCAAGCTCTTGCAGGATGTCCTTGTTTTCCACATCGAAAGCAATGGCCTCTAAATCAACTCGCTCCAGTTGGTTTCTAGTAACAGTCTACTTGGTTGTGATTGTAATCCTTGCATACACCACACCATTTCTGCTGAGATTTGGCTATTTTAAGACTAAGATAAAGATCCTGCATCATGTAAAGCATAGCATCCCTTGTTCGTGAACCAATAAGATCAAGAACATCTAGAAGATTCACAAGAGTCATATCAGGAAGTTCCATGAATACCTCCAACAAAGGAACAACATCATTCATCATATTCCCTTGAAAGCGAAGTTAACAGCTTCATGATAACCTCATGATCCGGTTTTCGATTTCCCGAAATGCGGAATTCATCAACGATATCCATAACTCTTCTCAAGTAATCATCCATTGGTTCTTCTTCACACATCATAAGCTCTTCAAATTCCTTCTCTAACTCTTCGTTACTTTTTGGTTCTATTTCGGTTTAACGCAACCTAAGCTAATTCGGTCGGTTCCAGGAATTTGGTTGATACGGAGTTTCCGATATATTGGGATGAGTTGTTGTTAGAGAAATCAAATTTGGTAAAGTCTGGTTCAATTTTGGTGGGTTAACTGATTAACCGTGCAACACACGTAAGATCGACATGGTATACATACACTGCTCGAAAATATGAGTATTTGCACATTGTAACAATGAAAAACGTTTAAAATGATGATAATCCCATTTCATTTGTCCAATGAACCATAGTGAATATGCCCAAGTTTGTATCACAATGCCTAAGGAGAAAGGTCGAAATCTGCCACTACTGATTCAATATCCATCCACACTTCCATGTCTCTGTCTTTTCTATTTCGGTACATTTTGTCAAGTTTTATATTTGATCAATTTACAACACCCAAAAACCTTTAAATTTCTACTAGAATTGGTCTTCTTTTCAACATTAACAAAAACAAGATCAATGCCAAGCTTTCCTTAAACGAACGAACGAAACAAAAAGCACATAAAAAGACTTGAGTCTAGTACCAAGTTTATTCAAAGTGAAGGTGATTAAGAGGTGAGATTAGCTTCAATCACATGAAACCGCAGAGCAAATCGTCTCTCTTCCCTCATGGTTTCTCCAAACACTCTCTTGTTCTGATCCATAATAATGCATTTGTCTTCTTCTATTGT